TCTGTCTGACAATACTGTTCTCTACTATAATACCAGCCAAACTAGCTGAAAGTAAAGTTAGGTTTACTGGTCATGGTGAGGATTGCCTGTGGAGCCTTTTTTAAAACCTGAGCAATACATTACCAATATCTGCCTCTGTCACATGACAGACCTTGTGACACCCTGAGCATGACTGTTAATACACAAGCCCACTGTTACTGGTATATATAAATAGGAATATATCATTTATACATGTTGCTGTACAAATTGTATGTGTAGCAAAATGAACTATTGGTTTCAGTGCAAATAGACTTTTACTGTGAATGCTCTGTATCTTACAGGAGGGGGTCTCTTTGTGAGAGAGACTGACTGAGCTTCTTCAGAAGCAATTCTACCACCTCCCTCTGCTCTCCAGTCCCTTTACCAACACTCAGGTAACTTATGTATGGGTTCATTGCTGCGCTGCAATGCAATGCTGAAACCCTTTCGACAGCTAAGGTCCAAGGAAAGGTCAGATGTGATCTCAGTGGACAGGCCTGACAGCATGGAAGGAGTCTAAATCTTGGGTTAGATTAGGTTTCAAATTCCTCTTCGATAACAAGCAAGGTCTAGGCAGCCCTGCCCATCTCCCTGGCAAGAAGCCTGGCCAGGGGCTAATCAAGAAACTTCCCAAAACATTTGAGAGAGCCCAATGTCTTTCTTCACTCTTTATTGTGTAAAAATAAACTCAACAATTCATGTAATTTCAGCAATAAAATGAAAAAAAAGCATGAATACCAGTAGAAACAGTGCATTTCCAGAACTGCTGTTGTGGACTGTGGCTGTGTGATATATTAATAACCCATTCAAAACCCAAAAAGGACTGATAGCAAGTCATAGGAAAAATTTACAGCTTTGGTTAGCAAAATAATGACAATTAAGAGATCGATTTTCTACCTTTCTGTACAATATATACATTAATTAATATCACCCTTTTGGCAAATCAGATGCAGTTGGGACTATGGATTTATTTTTTCCAGTTTATTTTTTCCCCTCAGCAAATTGTGCTTAAGCTGCTGTTAGCTAAAGCCAACAGTTTCCAATAAATAGCGCAACAAACTGAACTTATGTGTTTAAAAAGAACACAGCTGAAATACGCTGCCCTGAGCCACCTTTTGATATCAAGGTAACTTGATTTGTTTTGTGGGTGGTGATTTTTCTCCGAGTCTCAATGCTGTGATTTAAAACTGGCAATTAAATGACCAGGGTTGTCATGGCTTGACTAGGATCAGCTCTGCTGCTTAGTCCATATCTGCCCATGTTGCATATTTATTTGCCACATCTTTGGAGTTGGTCATAAGGGCTGTTTCAGCCTCATGTGAATTCTTTCTACCCCACCCCAGACCCACCACTGAAGGGGGGGGTCAGAAGTGGGTATGGGGTGATCTCCTGCAGCCAAGGAGTTTTAAAAGGAAACCATATAAAATGTACCTATTTCAAAATAATCTTCTCTTTATCATTCCCTGCCCCATACAGTCTTAAAGTATTTTTTCAGGGACGATCAGTTAATTTTATATTTTATTTTTCTCCTTCATAAAAATACCTTTGTATTGGTAATAAACTTCCTTTTTATAGTAAGATAAATAAGATACTGTGTTATCAAAAGCAGAAAGGCTGAAGATTGAAATGGGAGCTAAACTCTGAAGGGACGGGAAAGGCTATTTGACAGCTATCGCCCTTAGGGGGCCTGTGGGAACTGTCAAACAGGAGCTAGGCAAAACAGACACTGCCTCTGCAGTGCTGTGTGTTTTATAAAAGGACGTTACCTGAGAGGCATGGTTCAGTCAGTGCAAGAGGGAACAGCAGGGGCATGGAGGCATGGACTCGGATCTTCGTCCTCTCTCCCTTCTTTAAAAATGTTGGACTGAAGGGAGCCCAAGAAGGGAAAACTGTCAGCCCGGGGGCGGGGTGGTGCTGAAGGGCCAGAGCCCAGCGGGCCCGGGGGGCGGGGTGGTGCTGAAGGGACAGCGCCCAGCGGGCCCGAGGGGCGGCCCTGGTGCTGAAGGGACAGCGCCCAGCGGGCCCGAGGGGCGGCCCTGGTGCTGAAGGGACAGCGCCCAGCGGGCCCCAGGTTCGCAGGCCAGCGGGAATTGAACGTGTTTTAAGTCTAAAGCGTGGCGCATTTTAGCCGGGAGGGAGGCTGGGAATGTGCCCCCGCCTATTGGGCAGCATGAATATCGATCGGGCGACCCTCCCCCAGCCCATGCACAAGCAGGCGCGCTAGGCAAGGTAACCGAGACGAAGCAACCACTGAAATGCCAGTGCCGGCTCTTCCTCTCCCCCCGGCCTTCTCCGGGGACCCAGGGGTGCAGCAAACCGAGAGATTACGACAGCCCCGTAGAAAGTCCCATAAACTGACCCTCCTCTATAATTCGTATACGTGGGACCAGAGCCACGGGGCTCAGCCTCAGGCGAAAGAGGCGTGGCCCGGCCGGAGGCTCCTGGGATCTCCTTCCCCCGGTGTCTTGGAAGAAAAGCCTAATTCTTGGGAGAGCAGATGCCCAGCGGAGACCACGTAGCCCGCAGGGAAGCCGGGCCCGGTGCGAGGTGCCCCCTCCGTTTCCCCGCGAGACCCTACCCCCTTCCCCTAACAAGGAAACCCCTCCCAATCCCTGATCAAGACCCGCTGCCATCGGGCACATGCTGTGGGGATTCCAATTTCCTGCTTTGCCCCCACCCCGCAGGCCAGCAACCCAGAAAGGCCCCCAGTATGTGCTGGCTTCAGCCGGCGCAGGAGCGCCCTGGCTTCCAGGGGCCCTCTTGGCCCGGTCTTCAGCCGCAAGGGAGCAAGCGCCCGTGCGGGGAGAGGAGGAGGTCCGGGGTGGAGCAGGAGGGGGTGGGAAGGAAAGCAGGAAGCCCTGCCCCAGCAGCATAGGGGTCAGTACGCCGCCCGAGTTTGCTCTTCCGCTTCCTTGCCCCATAAGGGACGAGGGCGGGACAAGGAGGGGGTGGGGCACGAGTCTCCCTCCGCGTCCTCCCACAGAGACAGTTCAAGTAAATCACACCCTGGCCCTGAAAGGGGAAAGGCGCCTCGCCGGATAAAATGCCTCGGCCTGCCCTACGCCCCTTACACCAAGTCAGGCTGGCAGGGGGGGAACAAGGGAGCCAAGAGCTCCGCTTCCCTGCCCTTGGCGAGCGACCGGGTTCTTTAACCCCGCGGCAAGAGCAGCTGCTCCCGGCGCCCCAGAGAGGGCGGTGGGCGAGCGCCCCGGCCCCAGGGTGCAAATGGCGACAGGGGCGCAAACGGAGACGGGGCGGGAAGGCGCTGCCCGGCCAAGGCACGCAGGCTTGGCAGGACGTAGGCAAGAGAGAGAGGAGTCGGGCGCGGGGCTGGGACAGCGGAAAAGCCTCACCCGGTTGCGAGCAAAAGACCGAGCCGAGCTCTCCCGCAGGCCCGCCCCCCCAGTGCCGGCCGCCGGGCTGGGTTCGCTTTGCACGGAGAGATGGGGGAGGGGACTTTAGTCCTTAATTGGTGGGGGGCGGCCCAGGGCGCGTGCCGGCCGCTAATTGAGCTGGCGGCAGGCTTCGAATGTCCACTTGGTGGCCCCCCCGTACACGTCGATGTTGGTCTCGGCCCAGGCGATGGCCCGCCCCCCCAGTGCCGGCCGCCGGGCTGGGTTCGCTTTGCACGGAGAGATGGGGGAGGGGACTTTAGTCCTTAATTGGTGGGGGGCGGCCCAGGGCGCGTGCCGGCCGCTAATTGAGCTGGCGGCAGGCTTCGAATGTCCACTTGGTGGCCCCCCCGTACACGTCGATGTTGGTCTCGGCCCAGGCGATGACGTTGCCGGCGGGGGCTTTGGTGCTGCACGTGGCCAGGTTGTAGACCTCGCCCGGGCTCAGCTTGCGGTCCCAGATGTTGAAATGGGCCAGCTCGCCCACGAAGGCCTGGGTGGCGTCGAACCCGCCGCCCAGCGTGTCCTGGGGAGAGAGCCCACAGCGGGTCACGGGCTGCATCCCTGCCACGGGGCGCGCAGCTCGCCTGGAACCGCGGCCCGAGTCGCCTCTTGGCCCCAGTCCCCAGCGGGGAACCGACCCTGGGCAGCTTGGCTCTCCGCAGGCCTGGGCAAAGGGAGCCCCCCGCCCAGTCAGGCGGACCGGCCCGCCCACCCCCCGGGGCAACCAGCCGCCTTCCCCC